ACAGCACTTGCGGCCTGACGTTTGCCTCTAGCATGAAAGAGACTGTCGCCTCTAAGTGTTGACTTCTATGTTCCCCATTATATATATATATATATATATATATATATATATATATATATATATATATATATATATATAGATAACTAGACTCGTTTTGAAAAAACCCTCGAATTTTTGATTTGCTAATCAAATCAATCTCGAGGGAAAAAAGGTTTTAAAAAAGAAAGTGCTATGAAAACATGGACTTCAGCCCACAAAAAAATCGCACAGATGCAGGTCTGAAGCCAAAAGAAAAAACCCCGATACGAATAACAACTAACTAACTAAAGAGCTCAATACAACCGTAGAGCAGACCTAGATAAACGTAGTGAGCCATACAAACCTACCTAAGTTTCGCCTAAACGGATCGTCAGGGAAAGTTTGGCTAACGAGGCAAAGAGAAACACATATTTATAGGTGATAGCTAAAATCATACTACGTGACAAAACAAAAAAACAAACAACCTAAGTGGGGGGGGGGTAAATATTTATTCAACAAAAAAAAAATCCTCAGTGGAAAGTCAATAACGGGAAAACGTCTAATTTAGTAGCCAAGATTTTTTTATGTCTACATACACTGAGAATTTCAGTTTTAGAGTTTAATAGCTGGTTAGGTTGATTATATAAAGCTATGGCTCATTTCTCCTCAGCACATAAATTGCAAAATTTATGGCCTGCTTTATATTTTGGGCATTTTTTTAATATTTCCTATTTAAGGATGGGGTCTATATTATCTTGTTTGGTTTTCCATACGTAGGTAGATAGCGTGATACTATGTTTAATTTTTTCATTCTTAAAACTACTCGTGTGGTTATAATATCTTTTTTTAATATATATATATATATATATATATATATATATATATATATATATATATATATATATATATATATATGCATGTACGTATGTATGTATAGTCAAATTTCAAGTGTCTGTTTCATACGCTTTCGCGCAATCATCAGGTGGTCGTTTGGTGTAGTTTGTGAAAATACGACCAGAGTAGAGCACTTTTTTACTTGAAGTAGTGAGCTCCACTACCGTGGTGCTATTGTTCTCCATGATATTGCGCACTTTGTTGTCGCACCGGTAAACCATGTTTTTTTTTCCCGGCTATTTCGATCTTGACGGGATATGTTACCCTCCCGCAGATGAGACTGATTGGACTTGCCTGCGTAACGCCTAAGAAACCAGGCACAAACGAATGTAAACTCCATCGAGCAATGATCCACTTGACGAAATTTATCATCCGTCTTCTGGTGAATAGAGGGCACTGCAGAATCAGGCCACAGATGGCACAAGAACAGTGCGGGTTGGTTAAATATACCGAGTGTTATCAGAGAGATCAATACAAATGCATAAGGATCTGTACCTATGTTTCATAGACTACGCAGATGCCTTAGACAATGCACTCCAGAAGGATCTGATAGAATTCCTCAGCAACCTTGATATATTCGGGAAAGATATTAGAATAATCAATCTATAATGGCTTGAAACCGCTTGCATGCTCATAGAGAATAAGTTCAGCGAATATAAGAAAATCGAAAGGGGAGTAAGGCAAGGATGCGTCTTCTCACCGGACCTATTCAACCTATACAGCGAGGGAATTCTGAGAGAATTGGAAATCCTACCAGGAATCAACATTGGCGGCCACAATCTTAACATAAGATACGCTGATGACAAAATACTGATAGGAGACACGGGAAAGCAATTACAAAACCTCCTACAGAAGATAGCGAAGGAGAACTAGAAGGGATTAATCACAAACTACAACAAAACAGAATGCATGGTCATCAGTAAATGTATTAGCCCTAAATGTGATTTGAAGGTCGGAGACGCTAAATTCAAGCAGGTGCGAAGGTTTAAATATCTGGGAAGAGTTTTGACGAAGGGCGGTAAGTGCGACACTGAGATCCGAAGACGTATTGGGATGATCAAGACGCATTCCAAAAGCTGGGCAGAGTGTTGCGATACAGGGGAATTTCTTTGGTAACAAAGAAATGAGTACTTAGCTGTTACGTGACATATGTCCTCCTTTACGGCAGCGAATGTTGGACGGTCTCCTCAAAGATGAAGAGACTCGAGGCGACGGAGATGTTGTTCTACAGAAGGAGTCTGAGAATATCATGGACTGAATGTGTGAGCAACAATGAGCTCTTGGTACTCGCTTCGGCAGTACATATTCTAAAATTGGAACGATACAGAGAAGATTAGCATGGCCCCTGCGCAAGGATGACACGCAAATTCGTGAAGCGTTCCATATTTTTTTCAGTGGCGTCTCGCGGTCTTTGACTGCGCACGCCTTCTGTCGAACTCTCTGCGTTATCAGAAAGGAACCCGGACGAGGCTTTGCCAAAGGGCAAGGTTTCGTCCGGGGAGTTAGACAGGGCCTGAACCCGTCTAGGCGGGTTCAAAGGCTATTTTTTTGGCTCGGAGAAACCCACATTAAAACCGGCCTTGTGCCATATTCGTTTCTCGTGGGTGAAATGATAAATACTCAATGAGCTCTTAGAGAGGATGCAAACAAGGAGGAGGCATATACTTAACATCAGGATAAGGCAGGTGAAATTTCTAGGGCACTTAATGAGAAAAGAGGGCCTGAAGAATCCTCCTGTCTTGCAATACTCTGCCTAGCTTTTGGAATGCGTCTTTGGTCATCCTAATCCGAGTCGAATAGAGGGAAAGAGAGACAAGGGAATACAACGCATGAAATACCTAGCGGGCTTAAAGCAAGTGGATGACAGAATATGCTAAGGCTGCTGCACGCTACTTCAAACAAAAGACAAGGAAAGAAACTGCATCAATACTGGAAAGAGGGATAGCGGAATCTGGAATTGTGAAACCTATTTTCATGAAAAGCTGTTTTAAAGGAAGAATTTCATAAATTTAAACTGACAGGGATATTGTCTGGTCGGTTAATGAATGCCGAATGTTTCCATATTAGGAAACGGTTGCAGATGATACAATACTGATAGTAGACACGGAAAAGAAATTATAAAAACCTCCTACAGAAGGTAGCGAAGGAGAGCGAAAAGGGGTTAAGCATAAACTACAAGAAGACAGAATGCATGGTTATCAGTAAAAGGATGAGCCTGAAATGCGATTTGCAGGTCGGGTACACTAAAATCAAGCAGGTGCTGCACTTTAAATATCAGGGAACTGTTTTGATAGAGGACGGTAAGTGGGACATTCCAAAAACTGGGAAGAGTATTATGAGTCACGAAGATTTCTTTGGTAACAAAGGAAAAAGTAATGAACTGTTACGTGACATCTGTCCTCCTTCACGGCAGCGAATGTTGGACGGTCTCCTCAAAGATGAAGAAGAGACTCGAGGCGACAGAGATATGGTTCTACAGAAGGATGCTAAGAATATCATGGACTGAGCATGTGAGTAATGATGAGGTCTTGGAGAGGTTGCAAACAAGGAGGAGGCTTATACTTAACATCAGGAAGAGGCTGCTGAAGTTTCTGGGACACGTAATGAGAAAGGAGAGTCCTGAGAATCTGTTAGTCACAGAGAGAATAGACAGAAACTGGAGACAAGTGAAAGCAATGCATGGCATACCTGGCGGCCTTAAGCAAATGGATGACGGAACGTGGTCTCGGGGAGGTGGCAGAGGGATGAATCTTATTGAGAGCTACTAGAGATAGGGAGAAGTGGAGAGACATGATCACCTACGTCCTAGGCACATAAGAATAAAAGATTTTCACAAACTACATTTACCGATAGCCTGATGTTTGCACGAAAGCATATAAAATTGGCAGTCGTCGTTGGTCACTGCACATTTGAATTTTGTATTTGTTGTGGTAGGATCCACCTAATATAAATATGGTTGGTACCGAGAAGAGAGGGAGGAATCAAGAGATTCAACCAGAGACTCTGCCCGACTGCGACTCAGTCAACACATTCTCCAGGAACGGTCTTACCAGGAATATACAAAAGACTATATGTAAATATTGTGTACGCTTTCTTGTTTCAATACATTTTGTTCTAAGTACATTTTGTGTTGCATTATTATTCTATGCATTAGTCAAGTTCAACAGTATTTAAAATATGTTAAAGCGCAACATGGCGTTGACAACTCTTTTTTCCTGTGTGAAATATTTGCTTGTTTTTTTTTATAGTAAACCAAAAAAAGCAGTCCCAATTACTACAATAACTATGGCTAGAATTTATCCCTCCTACCATCGGATTCCTAACTCCTATTCCCACCTTTCCTCCCCAACCCTCACTATTTGGACGCTTGTGAGATGATGTGCCTAAACTTTTGACCGTGGCTATCGGTAAGGAATCTTCCCTGACTAGCCAGCATTCAACATCCCATCCATCCCTCGCCAAACTGCTATCAACAAGCACTATTTTTTCACTCCGTCACCTTTTTGTTTTATGTATATTTTTCTCAAGCAGATGGAAAAAAAGGAAGTAATGTTACACTTGTCTACTAGCAGAATTGTTCATAACCATTTTTGTTCTCACCGGTTGAGGTGCAGTTTGAAATGCACAGAAACGAAGTTGCATCTTTGTAGTGAATAGACTGTTTTTGTCTATATGACAAAATTATAATAAATAATTATTGCTCTACTATCGGTATTGAGCCCTCTTTTGAATTAAGGCTGTGAACGTTAGAATTTATATATTACTTTCGTTCTCATTGATCGGATATATATATATATATATATATATATATATATATATATATATATATATATATATATATATATATTAAGAACAATTTAAATTAATAAGAATTGAAGATCCATTATTGCAGAAAACATTAATGATTCCATCAAGAAAATAATCCTATTTACTGAATAAAGCGCATTCTATCGCTTCCGGTGTAAACTGTACTTAATATGAACTAGTTACAAATAAAGTATAGAAATAATTCCATATACTAAAGCTGAAAATAGCAATTTGTATACTATGCTTATTTTTCCTTCCTTGTTTGTAATATTTATGCATCTATGTATCTCTCTATATCGGTTTACATAAACTTACCTACCTACCTACCTACCTATCTATCTATCTATCTATCTATCTATCTTGGTTTGTTAATATCTATACATCTATGTATCTATCTCGGTTTGTTAATATATTTGCATCTATCTATCTATCTATCTATCTATCTATCTATCTATATATATATATATATATATATATATATATATATATATATATATATATATATATACGACTGTCTGTCTATCTATATATGTCGGTTTGTTTATAACTATACATCTATGTATTTATCACGGTTTGTTAATCTATCTAACGCAGTTTGTTAATATCTATACATCTATATATGTATCTGAGTTAGTTACTATCTATCATTGTTAAGAATATATAATTTTTATGAGTGTCCGAGTGTCTTCATGAATAAAGGCATTATTTATATCTGAACGCGTGCATGTTGCCATAGAAGCTTTAATTTACCACTTTCTATAGCCCTGCTTAGTGTAGGAAGAAAGCGAAGCACTCGACTGCAGTTAAATTTGCATCAATATATATTCTTTGGCCCGTTTTACATATTTCTTTCGGTTACTTTCTTTTTTTACTGCTTCTTCACACGTTTTGTTTAGGCGTAAAAGCAAAATATATCTGGAAGAAAATGACAGGTCATGATAGAAGATAAATGACGTACGAAAAACCAGTCCGCGAAAAGAATTTGAGATGGTCGCTGGAAGCCTAACCGTGCGAGATAGATATTGTCTGAGTGCTATGGCACTAAAAATATAGAAGAGGCGAGACAGAAAGTACAGTTACGAATAATATAAGTCCGTGAAGAATCCTGGAATAATAATAATAATAATAAATACATCAACGCTATACCAATGATGGTTCTCACGAATCCTGTTCTTAATCGACTGACGGCGTTTCCAGGTACATGTATTGCTCTGAGGAATTAAGATAGTAATAGCAATATTTGCCGTTTCCTTATAAGGAAACATTCGACAATCACTGACCGAGCAGCCAGTACTTCTGTCGGTTGAAATTCATAAGATACTTCTCATGAAACTTTGTTTTTTCATGAAAATAAGTTTCCCAATTTCACAAGCTATTACCGCTCTTTTCTCAAAAGTTAAACTTGGTATCCACTTTACGGTTTCCTGAAGTGATGTAGTTTCTACTATTTGGTACATTTCTTGCTTTGTGGTGCTTTAACGCCAATCCAAAAAGTTCCAAGAAGTCTGGTTTTCACCAAGACTCAGAAGCTTCTCTAGATCAAATCCTTTTTTAACCATTCCTATTAGAAAGTGGCTGTATTCAGCAGAGACAGATTAGTTATTTATGAACGGAATTCATGCATGACATCCATATGAATGTCTTGATCTTAAGGCTTTTTAAGAACTAGAGTTTTGTAGTAGTTTTCTGTGTTGGGAGAAAAACCCTATAACCCAGCCTATTCTATGTTCAATTTCCGTATTGTTCTATACTATGTTTGATATAAATGATCTATACACAAGTTATTGAGGTGTTTAATATTTACTAATTCCACATCCTGGGTTTTTATGATGGATTCAGAGTAGATACTATAATTACTTTCATTCCAATTCCACAGCATGATCTATCGCACTTCTCGCTTGTGGAACTCTTTTCCAGCTTCTTGCTTCACAGTCAACTATTATCTTAAAACATTTCAAATCGTTACTATCTGTCTTATTAATACCTGTATTTTTTTATTGTTCTCTCCCCTTAATAGTCTTTTTTTTCCTCATATTCTCTAACATGTAATAATTCCCTACTTCTTAGTGCTCAGAAATCAACAAAGGAAGCGTAATTAATAAACAGAAAGGGATTACAGAAAGTTTGGTTTATGTCTTTTATTGGACCTTCTCCTTAATAATTTTTTTTAAAAATTTTTCTCTTATTCTTTCACCATCTGTAAATCCTTGAATCTTATTGATTTTATTGGCTTGATTAGGGTGAGATGGATATCCGTTTAATTTATACGAGTCCTTCTAGTTAAAGAGTCTAGTTAAGAGTTCCTTAATTCCCCACGAGAAAAGCTGTGCAAATTAACAATTCCAATGAATTAAGGCCAGAAGCAAGGATTCATTCATTTTTTACGGTTTATCAACTCTTTGCAGGTTATTTAAAGATAATAAAAAATTTAGCGACACGTCTGATTAATTAATCCATATCTAGATGGAGAAGAGATGGATTCATACCTTCCCCAATGGTATTTGCGCCTAAGTGAATATAACGGACATGGGAAGCGGAACTCGGTTTTCCGATTGACAATTCCGAGCCATTATCCACGACACCGTACGCACATCCAAACGGCCAACCAAGACTTCGGTGATCATACGGGTACCGGTATTTCAACTCCATATGGCCATAAGCCTACAGAAGCAATGAAAGCCACGCCCGTTGGAACATCAGTGTATTATTATGAATAATCATATGATTAATCGGTGTGCAGCTCGTGATATTTTTCAGGTGGGAATCATTAAATAAAAATGAGATTTACTTGACAAAATAAAAGGAGGAATTATTTGAATAATAATTAAATATTAACGTGACGGCCGTCACGCTGGTTTCTCTAAAGCTTGCTAAGTCAATCTGTAAATGACTATCAATTTGTAAAGAAAATTATAAACACCAGGACCTTTGCGTTTGCAAGTCTAATGATATACTACTAGGGATAGCCTTCACATGATTGGCTTTCAATTTGCAAAGAAAAGACGAAGGAAGATGAGTTTTATTATAAGTGCAGACGAAATACAGTTAATTTACATCGTCATAGTTGCATGAATAATAAATCTATTTCTACAGATTCACAAATACTAAACTGAGTCAAAAGTTTTTGTTTCCGATTTTCGCTTGATTGTCCTGATTTTTCACCTGCCATTTTTTTGTTTTGTTTTTGTCACTTCAAACAGTTCTGGTTTGTCCTTTGTTGATAGTACTCGGATATCTCTAACGTTTTTCCATTTGAGAAAGACTATGCCATTTCCATCATCTTTTTCAACACCATCTCCTCTTCGTAATGATGCGTTCATGACTTCCTTAGGAAAAAGCTTTTTGGTTGCTCTGATAATCCCAACAACATACGTATGCATTTGTAAAAGACTCTCAGCTAATACGTCAGCAGTACAGAAATTATTAAGTAGAGAGTTCGTCCTTGATAAAGAAAACCTTCCATCAGTTCTTCAAAAATTGTTTTAGCTAATCCCACCTGTCTTTGACCTGCTTGTAGTAACTTGTATCCCCATTTTATGCCATTGATTTGATACAACTTGTCGAATCATGACTGGATTGTTTATTCTTTATTTTAATATATAATGTATAAACATTAATTTTTTTATTCTTTATCTTACAGTTTTGATAATGAGTGGTGAAATTATTGCAGTAAGAGCAATTTTACTCTGCCTAAGAAAATGGACTGAGGGTAGGGACAACGCCAAAGTAAATTAATGATGTGGAAGACACAGGAGCTGTTAACGAACATGTGGGACGAAACTGGATCCGACTTTTCAAATAATGTGACACCAGCCACGTAAATAAAGCTAGGTCACGGGGACCTTCTAATGTGGTTGAAATGGTTGAACAACAGCCAAGCACAAGCACTTGTGCATTGTCGGCAGAACTTTGTCTTTCACAAAGCACCATCAATGAACACATCTATTTGTTTGTCCTTTTGAATAAACGTACTCGAGAAAGTGCACACGCTACAGCCTGACAACGCATCGGTACACATTGCCAACATCACAAAACGTAAACTTAAGTAACTTCAGCGGCTAGAAGTGATGCCTCAACCTGCCTAGAATCTTACATCATCAAATGACCACCATTTTAAGATATGGCATTTTCCTACACAGACAGAGGTTCAACAATGTAGATGAGCTTGAAAACGGGTGCAGGGTATTTTTTTCTGCTACTAAAACCAGCCAGATGGTACAAGCGTGGAATTGAGCTCTCGGCGAAAGAATGGCAACAGAAAATTGAATATGATAGGATGTATTTTGATGAATAAACGCTTTACGTATGCGATTTATTTGAACTATTAATTAAAGCGTGAAATACAAAAAACAAATAAAGAATCAGCTTTTGACTCAACCTGGTAAATTCAATTTTTCTCAATTTTTTATTGTCGCATTCTTGTGTTAAAATTTTTGAAACAGCATTATGAAAAGGCACTGTTAAATATATAAGTATTGTGAGACCGGAACTACCTACACAATACTCTTCCAGGTCTATATTAAGTATGCGACACAACACTCTAGAGAGAGAGATAGAGAGACAGTGAGAGCCGCGTACGACTACCAGTGTTGGACACTAACATATAGTAAGCTCCGCTTACACTATCTCTGTAACCTGTTGTTAATATATCTTTCTTACATCTAATCCGTGTTCCGTGTTGTACTTCTGTGGTCTCAACTTTGGCCCCACATCAATAAGGCTTACGGCCGTATCACGTTCCAACACCGGTTCTCGTACGATAACCGAAGTTAAATAAAGTCGATCCTTGTCACTACTTAGATGGGTGACCGCTCCGGAATAAAAGGTGCTGTGAGCATGGATGCACAGGGGATGTATGGATATTCAGAATTCGAAATCAGAAAGCCGAGTTCCAATTCCAGTCGGGTTTCTTATAATCACTTATGCGCAAATACCATGTGAATGGTATGAAGCCACCTCTTCTCCTCCCAGCTATGGGTTAATTAGTAAAAGTTGTATCAGTAAATCATTATTATCTCTTACTATATAAAAATTATTTTCTGGCTTTAAATAACCTACAAAAGGTTGCTAAAACGTTAAAAACAAATCAATCAGTTAATCTTATATATATATATATATATATATATATATATATATATATATATATATATATATATATATATATTTTTGTAGGTACAACATTTAATGATGGAAATAAAAGTGTAAAACTTAATATTACGAGACATATTAAAAACGGGCGAAGCAACCGGTTTCACTCCTGCTCTTCAGGCTTCAACGGGAGATTTAAAATTAACACAGATAAATATTCAATAAAAGGAAGTTGTGAAAAGACAAAAAAACAACAACAACTTCAAAATTCCACCATTCTTAGCAGCTTTTGTATATGACGTTTTCTCTGT